ATATGCTAATTGTCTAATACTGCATGAACTAGCAGAACGTTAGCTGACATATTTTTTTTTTCATTTGCTTTAAATAAGTATATATCTGATATCCACCTGGAGTCATGACAGCATTATTACACTTTTGATGATTAGACAAAGTTTCTTGTAACTTGAAGAATAACAGTTAAATAGCATTTAACTGATCATTCAGTAGCCTCAATTAAAGTGCTTGTGTGTTCCTCAATAAACTTACTCTTTTTTAAAAGCACAGTGCTTTATATCACTACTTTACACCTACTTGATAGATTTGGATTAAACTTTTTTCTTTTTTTAGTTTGTTTGTTGGAGCAGACACAACATACAAATACGTTTTCCTGGGGAAGAAAGACACTAGCGTGCAATCTATTGTCATGATATTGATGGCCAACAGTAATCCCACCCGATAAAGGTTAACAATTTACAGGATGCTCTATGTTTGAAAAATGCAAGTTAATCTTACAAATGACAAATCAAAGCTTTATGGATCTGTGTTTCATGCAATTCAGTTTTGGTGACTTTAAAAAGTTATTTCTGTCATTTCTGTGATAGAAACCCTCCTTTACCATCTCTTTAAATATTTGATAGCACTTCAGCGGAGACAAGACAAGAGTATGCTTGTCTAATCCACAAAGTTGGACTCAATTCTTATGTGTTAGTTAAAGACACCAATAAATATAGCATGTACCAGCACGCACGCACACAAATGATCACACAAACACGGCACACAGATGTCTCTGTTCATCCAGCTGTGTCCTCACTAAAGAAAATACTCTCGCTGAATTCAAGCGTTTTATTTCTCGATGGTTGAAAAGAAGCCTGGTCTGGCTGACCTAAATACGCAAACACAACTGTTGCTCTGTGTCTCCTCACACAGCGACCTGGACCTATTTGTTCAGTCGCAGTTATTTTTAGGGTAAAAAAAGCCCATTGACCTCCTTTTATTTACTGGAATGTTCATCACCGGTCAGGTATGGCTTCAGTTTGCCTGTGTACAATACATTTATGTTTATGTGTGAGTAAACATTTTTTAGCTACACTACACCATGACTCACAGCAAAACAACTGGGAATGTGCCCAGGATTAATATATAAACACTATGAAGCTCTAGAAGGAGGTGCGTGACATTTCGTCTAATTATTTGCTCGTAGTTGCTCTTCATTACCATGTCCTGATATCCTCCTTAATAATATTCTAGCACTAAGCTTTAAATACTACTCTTCTCCACTCTCTTATTCTTCTTCCTGTCACAAAAAATGTTGTTTTAGTCACAGAGGGCAGCAGTTCACTGGTATTTTTCCCCATTTACAACCTATAGCTTTGCTTTTAATTAGTTTTTAATAGAAAAAGAGAAAAAAGATGAATGGATCAAGCAGAGCTGTGCAATTCTGTCAGATGATGCTAGCGAATCTTGTGCAAAATTATAAAACTGTAACAATTTATTTTGAAGGATTTTTAAAAAAAGATTTTCTCCTGTAATTGTCGTTGCCTTGAATACAGCAGTTATGCATTTACACTATTATCGAAACATGATAAATTAAAATGAGAAGAATGATTTTATTTCTTTTATATATTCTTAACCTTCATGAGACTACACTACAACAAATTAAGAAGATGCTGGCTAGAAAATAACTGCAATGGAAAAAGAATAAAACCTGGACACCTCTCAGCTCAGCAGTGTCACCAAAGTTTCAGATGATGAATTAGCTGTTTGCAATGGGGATATGTATGTGGACATTTTCATCTTTTTTTTCTTTTCCAGCTTTACCTCGTCTCTATTTTTTGACATTTGGGTATTCTTAGAATTCCTGGTTTTGACATTTCCATGTTTTTTTTCCCTGCAAAGTCAGAGAGCTCATATTAACAGATGGATGGAAAGTGTCTGATTCTACTGTCAGATGCATGAGCAGGCACATCTGGCAGCAATAATCACACTCAAATTCAACAGTCAGTTAAATAAGGCATCTTTCTCACATTGCAATTTTGTTCTTTTTTTATATATATATATATATATATTCATATGCAACCGCCTGTCTGGAGAAGCGGGCTGTTTGTCTACAATAAACCTTAAAATTTGGCAGACTGGATGTGAGATCTTTACACGCCGTTGGCTTGCAGAGAGCACAAGTGTGTCTCTGGACAACATGGAGTGACTGTGTTTGTCTTGGGGTCAAGAGTCAGAATGTTTGTTGTGGTGTAAGTTTGAGGAGACTGTTTAGTCTTGTAGAGAGCAACGTTGGGAGTCTAGCACATAGATCCCGTGGTAAAACAAGATGGTTTGGCAGAAGCTCAGCACAGTCAGAGACATCAATATGTTAGTCAGAGGTGTGAGCCTGTGAGTGGGTGATGGTTTGTGTGTATTTTTATGTGTGGCTTTTGTGTTCAAATGTGTTTGTTGGTGCATTTGTGTGTTTAAAAAGAAAGTGGCCTGAGACATAACTGTGTCATATGGTTTGGGGATTCACAGACAGCCGTTATATTACTGAATGTATAATAATAAAAGAAAAAAAATTAAACAATGCAAATATAAACAATTTTATTCAGCTGAATAGTTATTTGTGCATGTTCTGATGTAGCAGTGCCTTCATATTTATTGTGATGTAATGAAACATCATATGATAATCAGATGAAATCTTGAAGCTTGGGATGCGATTCCAGTGAATGAAAACATCACGTAAGCGATTAACAGACACCTCATACAGAAGTAAGAGAGTTCTGGTTCATCAACACATCATCCCAATCATCTAAACATAGTGAGAAAACAGTTAATGGCTTTCTGTTTTGGCTGGACTCCTCGGCAGGTGTCAGGAATAATCCTGACGGATGGAAAACGGAAACATCTGAGATGATTATCGGTGCCAGAAGTGTTGGAGGAACGCAAGGCATTGCGTGTGGAATGCAGAACCCATAATCCACATGAATCATGGAGCTGTAATCGCAGTTGTTGCTGTTACACAATAAGCTGTACTTGACTGTAAAGAATGCCAGGGAATAGGAAGGAATCTGTGTTAAGTGTGTAAGTTTGAAGACATGACAAGATTATAAAGTACCTATCAGTGTTGCCAGACTGAATCGCCAGAGATTCTTGGTGAAGGGTGAAAAGGGAAAAATAAACTTTAAAGAAAGGTGGAGAAAAGTGGTGACAACAACAGAAATGCTGTGAGGAATGAGATAAAGAGAGGAAAAAAAGTCGGGGATCTGATGAGAAAAGAGGGGAGGAGAATAAGAATTAGGAAGCTGGCGAGTAAGGAGCAGGATGCAACAAGAGAGTTGGAAAAAGAGAAGAGGGAATAAAAGGAGGGTGGAGCTGATGATAGGAGGAGGTGTGATAACGTAAGAGGAGAAGACAGAAAAAAAGGTGGGAAAAGAAAACAATAAAAAGAAACAAGAGGAAAATGATGAGTGGCGAGAATACACCATAGGGAGGATCAGGACTTGGAAGCGGAGTAACTGATGGGAAGGTCTTTTGGGGGAAACCCGAAAAAATAGAAAAAATAGACAGAATGAAAGCATGAAGAAAAGAGACAAGAAGAGGAGAATGTTGCCTTTGATACAGGGGTGCTGAGGGGTAATTTCTGTGTGTGTGTGTGTGTGTGTTGGGGGGGCACTCTGTGGTACAATAGGGGCCTGACAGGACTACAATGAAGACTCTGTTAGTATGCAGGTAGTGTTGGGGCCACCCTGCAATATCCCTACATGGCCCCAGGGCAAGACCTTACACACACACACACACACACACACACAAGACCAAGAACTTCTAAACAAGATATAAACAAGATATACTTCAGTGTGGTTGTGCTTTAGTTTACGCTTCACTCTAGTTACTTCCTGTTACTTCCTAGAGTGAAGTCAAATTTGCCTGCTTTTCCCTAATTAAATCTTCAAGAAGTCTGTCTCTTCCATAAAAACTAATTCCTGTAGATGGTTTAAGCACTCTTTGTGCTTGTGGCAACTCCCAACAAATAGAGCCCAACCAACTAAAGACAAATTGTATGTACCCATCCTTTTTTCTATTAATGTCACCCCAAAGATGTTATTAATGGGATGTCTGAGAGGGATTGTTTTGTGTTGCTCCTTGAGAAACTCTTGCTAGTTTTTGAGGTACTGTGAAAGACTGGGAACCGCATGAGAGCTTGGTGTCATGAGCAGTAGGTTAAAAGTAGAGTTGAAAGTCAGACAAACTTTGAAGTGGAGGACAGGGTGTTCCAAAGTTTGGAAAAAGGTTTAAAATATGTCAGCAGTTATAAAGAAAAAAAAAAGAAGCAGTTATAGCATCCAATATACTGGTTAACAGACAGTAGGTCAGTTGATCAATGTTATTTTTTTTACATAACTTATCAGGATTTGGAAAATAAAACACATGAGGAAATGCCAGTGAAAAATTTGTTTAAAAAAAAGAGGAATGTGGAAAACAAAAAGCATTCTCATTGGAGTAGGCCCAAAAAACCCCCATGAGTATCAAACTCATAAACCCGACAAAGGGCTGTAACAGCTACTTATTTTAAAAAGGTTAAGTCAAAGTGATTTAATTGTTCTCAGGAGCAGATGCTAAGTGGTGGCATGCAGTGACAAGACAGAAGATAATAAGTAGTAAGATGTAACTGCAAGCCTGCTAATTTGCAGGAGTTTTAGGAATGAGAGTTTGTAAAGGGCTTGTGTTAGCCAAACAACGGCTGAGTGATTGAGGGTAGGCTATGCTTTGGTTTGGAATACATTTTGTATAAATGAAAAATGTTCAAGGTGCTTTCAGCCAGAGAAGAAAACTTATTTTCAGTCATGGCTCTTTGGTTAGAACTACATGAAACATTGTCATGACCTTCATGAGTTGTTTTGTACTCGTTAAAATTCCCCCCTGTCTTTTTTATATTAACTGATCACTTGAGATTTTGTATTAATTTTTCTGCCTCAGCTGAGCAGGATCTGAACACCTCTTATGAACATCCAGCCAGTTTGCAGTGTTATCAACTTTGAATTGCTACTCTTGCTAATTTCCTGCCCAGGTACGCCAGAGTCGCTGGAAGAGAAGGAGCGCCAGCTTTCCACCATGATCGGTCAGCTGATCAGCCTGAGGGAGCAGCTTCTTGCCGCCCATGATGAGCAAAAAAAGATGGCCGCCTCGCAGCTGGAGAAGCAGAGACAACAGATGGAGCTGGCCAGGCAGCAGCAGGAGCAGGTAAGGAGGGTCCTTGGATGTGTTGGATTTGGGGCTGTACAATGAGACGTAGTTGGGTAAAAAGAAAGAAGAAAAAGACGTTAATAGTGTACATGTGTTGGTCTATGTGCAGGATAATGTATGGGGTTTGGTGATATGAATCACACATAGTTCATTCCTGTGTGTTTATGCAGGGGTGCATGTAGAAGGGGGGTGGGGGTGGAGTTTCACCAGGGCCCCAGAACACTTACTCAAGTACTCTAATGTACTTAAGTATTTCCACATACTCAATGCACTTTGTAGTAAGCAATATATAATTAATTAAAATGATCCACAGCTGGAACATTAAAGAGATGTGTCTTGCCCCCCCCCTCCCGTGCCACCCCATTTTTTAAAAAAACATTGGAAACGAAAAATATCAATCAATAAATAAAGACATACATAAATAAATACAAAATATGTATATGATTGGCAGGGCTTTAAACTGTCAACAGTTCAATTTTAATATTCTGTAATTCCTTTTTTTGATTCCTTTCAGGTATTATATTATTTTATTCATTCAACTAAATACTGAAATTTGAGGTTATCATTATTAAAAATAACAGAAAATTAGTCCAACAGGGCGAACAGCACATCTAAATGAATACAAATGTTCAACTTTACCAGGTTACATTAACCCATTAACCCACGGATACACTTCAAATTACAGAGGTTAGAAAGCCAACAGGACTTAACACAAACCCTTGTCTTCTTGTGAATGCCTTCCTCTTAAACTGTTTGATCTATTGAATGTGAAGGTCCAAAACCTATGAAAGTGTACAATATCTGACACAAAACCCCTGATATTTAATAATTTTCCAGTAATAAGTTAGTAATTTTTTGCTGTAATTCCTCGAATTCCAAAGCTTTTCTTTTTTCCAAAGCCACATTGTAAAAATGTTATCATAACTGACATAATGGCCACAAAGGAGACCCAACTTGTAAAGGAAAAACAAAATGTCCCTAACAAAACGCGCGTAGGTGTATCTGTATGTCTTTTGACTGCACCTTCAAAAGTTGTAGCAAAAGCGTCTCTTAGGGTGCCAGACGGCGATTTCAAAAAAAACAAAAACATTGTGTGACAGAGAAAGAAAGCGAGAGCCTACGCAGAGAAGCGTTTAGGTGAGCTGCTCTTTGTTTTCACTGTTTGCCGACACGTTACTGTAGGTTGGCATATGACAGGCTCTGTTTGGACAAGTCCACACCTCCCATCACAACACATTCCACCTTTCACAGCTTTACAAAGGAAACAAGCAAAGTGGAGAGCGCGAAGAGAAAGACAGATTCCAATATCAGCCAGTCATTTGGCTGTTGAGACTTGATAGGATAATGCCCTACAGACAAACCCGAGAAATCTGCCTTTAATGAAATATGACATGTGTGCAAATGGGGCGCCGCCTCCCATTCAGCAGCCTGTAATTACTTTTCGGAATAAATATACTAAACGACTTCTCAAGGAAAAAAAAAGAGGGGCAGCTGTTTTACTTTTCTGGTTCAGAGTGGGCGGGATCACGTCGAGGACGTACTGTCCCTTTTAGGACTTTAACCTCTCACGAGTGGCCGCTCCCAGATGTCAATCACTAGATGATGCTTGGCCTTTTAACATCTGACATTGAATGTTTTTCATTAGAGAATTTTACATCAAAACAACAACAGAGAAAATTATCACCCCTCCTGTTTATGTGTGTGTGCGGGAGGGGGGAGGCTTCCACAGGCACATTGGGTGTTGTTGGCTGATGTAGTAAACATGCCAATCTCACAGATTCAGTGTCAGTTAAGAGAATTGTTCATAAACCTTCTGCACTGCTAATTGCTTGGATTGGATGCACCATCCATCACACCAGCCGAGGCTTTTTAGAGATAATAATCTGAGGTCAAACTGACACATAACTCAGAGTCTCTCTACCTGTTTTTGATTTACTGTACTGCATTTGAGACATGATTGACCTCACTGAGAGTTTTCAAGAGCAAATCACTTTGTCTGCCACCTGTCGAGGACGGATACATCCTCATCATCATCTTGAGTACCAGATGACAATCTTGCCTTTTAGTATTGTAAGGCTCTTACCTTAAAATGTAAAATGGCACGAGAAGACGGTGTAAATCGACATGATATAACATAAAAGTGAAGAGATTTGGATTCATTTTTCATCATCACCATCTTGGACCCTTGTATTTTTTATTTTTTACTTCCATGACTTCTTAGAGCAACATACCATTTCTGACAAGCCATTTATGGACATTTTCCTGTATTGCTTTCTTTTATTTCCAATTAACACACACACACACACAGACACACACACACCCTGTATGCATACTGTTTGTTCTTTAATATTTTAGAAACATGAACACGGTACAGAAATACAGATTATCCTTCTTCTCTTATCATCATTTTCACTCTTCCGCTCTGTGTGTGTGTGTGTGTGTGTGTGTGTGTGTGTGTGTGTGTGTGTGTG